GAACAGGCATGGAAAAAAAAAAAAGAAATTACTCTTTTGATTATGTTGTTTGCCTGAAGGGTGGTAGGGAAGCATGGAAGAAGATTGAAAAAGACTATTTAAAATAGATCACATGTATCAAAACAGTCATCTGTTTCCACAAACAGCAGGATAAACATAGATATATGGTTGCTACTGATATCAAAGATGTTGGTAGTATTAACGGAATGGAATTACTCTGCCTGCTGTAGAGCTCTTTTCCCCCCATTTATCTCTGTGCTATCCTATGTTACTGTTTACTTTGTCACTTCTTTGGTAGGTTGTTGTTTGGTTGCTAAGAATTAGTGAGGCCAGATCTATAGCGAGTTACACAGAAGTGCTTCCTTGTTCTTTTGTGGTGGACAAAAAAAGGAGTCGGATTATGTGTACTGCCTGGTGTTTTCCTTATGCAGCATCTTCCTTCTGTCAGGAAACAGTGTAGTTATGGTATAATGTATGACTATAGTTCATTGCTTTACATAAAAAGTATTGATTATGTGCTGAGAACTTTTCACTTCTTACAAAAATTTCTTACTGCATGAAATACTTTACTATAGTATGTCTCTGTGTCCATAGGTGATAGTCCCAACTGATATCAAAATTGAGTTAATCAACCGGCTTTCCAAAACAGGCCTCCCTGCAATAGAAGTGACCAGCTTTGTTTCATCCAAGTGGGTGCCTCAGGTATGTAAAATCATCACTATTCAGAACTATTTACATTTAAATGACATTCCATGCAGTGGAGTTTTTCAGCAGTATAGCCTGTATAATTATGGAAGAAAATGGAAGAGAAATAATCTTGTTTATTTGTAAAATTGTGTGCTGTTGGATCCTGGACACCATTTACGCAGTTTTCAAGTTCTGCGCTTTTATTCAGGTCAGCTGAAGTTGGGCTAATTATTAAAAGGTAGTCAAAATTGAAGAAAAGCCAGTAAGCTGTGGAGAATGCTGGTTGAATCCCGAACTCATGAGCAGCAAGATCAGGTTGCTCCAGAAGGGAAGGGAAGGGAAGCTGGAAGCCAAGCATGATAACAACGGCAGCAGAGGCTGTAACCTTGTTGACCAATGGGCAATCCAACAGTATATGAGAGCAGAGCAAGTCTGGGGAGGGTAACCAGGGCAGCCAAGAGTTCACATACTCAGGTGAGTCCACAGTGATGCAACAGGTCCCAGGTTAAGTTGGGAAGTCAAGTCTGGGAGCCCTAGTCAGTAAGGTACGTGGCCAAGCAGGGACCTGGGTGCAGCTGTGCAGCTGCACTGTTTCTCAGGCAGGGAGAAAGCATGAGTGTCTCAGCGTAAAAGCTGCCGTGAAGCAACTTTTGCTGTGAAGTGGAGTGAAAAGGGAGGGTAGGTCATGTTAAGGCTTCTTAACAGAGCTTTTTGGGGGAGCATCTGCTGATCCGCTTTCCAGGTTTTATGGATGAGCTCCAGGGCTGATTGAGGCTTCTCAGGTTGCTGTCTTCGTATCAGTGAGCTGGCCTTGAGTGCAGGCAGAGAAACTCTTAGGAGGGGAGCACTGCAGGCCCTGATCAACAAACACTAGGAGTACAATTTGCCATGATTACTACATAGGGTGAAAAAATCTTAAATACTGTAATTGCTCTCCAAACATAAATAATTCAGGAGGTGATTCCCAATTTGCCCCTTGCAGCACAAGGGCAGGAATTTGCATGTGTGTGTGTGAGCAAGGGACAGCAGGAGATGGGGAGTGGGAGAATTGGTCACAGGATGCTGAGTGGGGTTAAGAGGTGTGGGGATGATGGATCAACACCATGAGTAAAGGGCAACTGGAATATAGGATGCTGAGTGTAGACATAATGATAAAGGTTTGAGAATATGAAGCAGTCGGGATGCAGAATACCGAGTTTGAGTATCCAGATGAACAGCACAGCAGTGGGGCTGCTCTCTGGGGAACAGTCATGGTGGAGGGGACTTGTGCAAGCAACACCAATTCAGAGACCTAGAATCAGGGCAGGAAAACCAAGGGGGTAGACTCCCCAGGCCTGGGGGTTGTTTGGACTGTCACGGAAACTTGTCTCTTCCCTGAAGCCAAACACCATTTTTTAGTGTCTGCTGCACTTGGTACATTTCTTTGTATCTATCCACCATCAAGTCCTCCTTTTCCAAACACTAACATAAACACACACACATACACAAACACACATGTGCTTACATGTTGAAGGATTCTAGTTAAGGAGGGATTTTGCAGATTCTATCCTGATTTGAGTTTGCTCACAAAGGGGCAGTGACTTTTTGCAGTTAATAATACAGAAAAAATTATTTAAAATCAATGTGAACATTGTACTGTGGAATGGAGGCAAAGAAAAATATTTGCGCATTTTATTTTGCTCTTTATTTATGTAAACATTCAGTTGTAACTAAGAACAGTGACACATAATTAATGTAATTTAATGTTGTTCCTACCTCTTTTCTACTCTTCTGAGAACTAATAGTCATTGATGTAAGACAGAAAGGTAGCATGCCTTTTTTCTTTTTCCCTAAACGAATTTTTATTTTCTGCATTTGTAAGTGTGTTTGGAAGATCAAAATTTGGGACTTTTGTCTATGTAGTAGTAGTTAGGCGTGCTAGTTATTTTGCAAATCTAGCACTCTATCAGCAGCCATACTGGGTTTTGGTGAATTGTAATAATTTGTGCATTATATTTCCAAAATTAGTTTTTACATTTGGTACAATTCAGCAGAAATCCTAGCCTTTCTGAAGTCAGCAGCAAAACTACATTGGCATTAGGAGTGCCAGGTTTTCATTTCAGATTTAACACTGCAAGTTCAGGGTTAGTCCTGAAGTATACTAGGTAGCTCCTGTTTGTGCAAACTCAATTATTCCGTGCAAATAAGGAAGTAAGTCAATACTTGTCTATGTCGTGTAAACTAATTTTCAAGAAGTTATGCACTTGTTTGCACAGAAGCATTTAAGTACCTACATATTTTAACATGTAAGTTATTTAGAAAGTAAAACATGAAATTAATTCATTTGAGACTTGAATTTTTAACATTTGTTGCACATCTTCTGTCAAAACATATATAATAGTTTTTTCTGTTTTAAACTGAGAATATGTCCTGGCCCTGGACTGTATTCCAGGCTTTCCTCTGAGAAAAACAGTACGATCATACTTTTTCTTTTTCATGGGTTAGCAGAGCAAACTGTGCAGCACTCTGAGGGACTCCTTTGATTTATTTCAGTGTTCTCAGGATCACCAGCGAAGGGTCTAAAGGCAGGGTAATAGGAAAGGGGAAGAGAACAGCGACAATGAAGAATTTCTTTAGTGTCAATGCAGGTGCAATGATATTTTGTTCATTAAAAGTGACAAGGCAAAGTTTTTCCAAGTGCCATCAAAATTTGGCAGTTACAGCAACAGAGAATAGTGTAGGTTTTTAAGCATTAGAAGGAAAAGTCTAAAGCAAAGACAGATTTCTTCCTTTCTTGTTCAGTATTTCCTTTTCCTGTACCAAATTTGGCACAGGTTTGTCAGTTTTGGAAAAAATGAACAATCCCTTCTTATCTTAAATTCATGTCCGAACACTTCATTTTAATGGCTTAATTTGTGTTTAAAATGTTTTTTTACTTAAAAGATAAGATTGCGTTACTTTGATAGGGAGTGCAGTCTTGAATTTGTCTTTCGTTTGCTCCTTTCTTTTTTCTTTTCATAGGTCATGGGAATAGAATTCGTGGTTATGTTTAGATCACTAATTCACTTATTTCTTTTTTTAGTATTTTAAAGTTCTTTCATGGTTTCCCATCCACTGTTTTTTTTGGCTGCGTTTTTTTACTGAAAAAAGCTAAAAGAAAAAGTTCCACAGTAGCAAGGTGCCATATAAAACAGGATCCCACACCTATAACCTAAACGGCCAAAAATTATAAATACCTACCATTAGAAAGCTTATTTTTAAAGAAATTTGGAAAAGAAATATTTTATTACAATTTAAAATCTTATAACATGCAGTATGTGTTAAAATGGGATTATACTTACAGGAAAAATAGTAATGGGACAAATGTAGAACATGTAATATTATTTGGATCTGGCAGCTTTATACTGGTTGAAAAAGTATGATTTTGGTTTTCTGGTATATTTTAAGTCAGGCTATAATTTTAAAGTGTGGAATTAGTTCCAGCATTTGCCATTTAATTAGTCACATATTTATAACTGTGGTACTGCAAAGCTATCAATCAAGTATCCGCTGAAAATACGGAGTAACAAAACTTTGTAGTTCATACATCTTTTTCGAACAGTACTCCTCAAATGACTTTTCATCAGTGTGGAAAGAATCAGAAATCCAATTTAATATTGTTTGCTTGGAAGATTTGTTTTTATGAGAACTGATTTAAAAATCATTTAAAATACACTGTTTATTTTTTCAAACTCAAAATCCGTAAGACATGAAATATGGAGCATATGTTTTATTGACTGCATTATTTTCAGGCATGCACACCATTAAAAAATAAACTAATTTTTCCTCCACTTTTTTCAAGAAAATGTGCTTGTCTAAATAATCTACAGTTTATTACATTAATAAATCTTTGATTCATCTTCTTGTTTAGTACATGGAGTATATTTAATCTAGAGTGAGAAAAGTGTAAGTATATCTTAAAAAGGCAGTTTCTTTTGTGAGGGGAGACTAAGGAAAACAAATGCTTGAAAAAAGTAATAGTCTTTGACCTTTGCTATATAAAAAAGTATTTTCTTCTTTTGAAAGAAAATTCAAAGTATATTAAAATGTTGCACTATGCAGAGAACTCGATTTTTTCTGTATTTTTAAGGACAGACTTGTGATTAAGTCTTTTCAAATATGCTGATTACAGTGTTGAGTAATTCAGGTTCACCTGTGCTCAAGATTGTGAAGTTGCATTTATCAGAGTACTGAAGTTTTCAAGATTTGGATGGTTTTAAAATTTCAGTTATTCTGTTAATTCCACCTATTGAATCCACTGAGGTAAGTTTTAAGTTGCAATAACAGTTGATGGTCAGCCTGGTGACAAGTCTACCAAATAACGTTTTACAGATACACACAAAAAGAAACACTGTAGAAATCTTAGCCCCAATTCTATATTCATACAGAACTGGAAAGCTTGCAACTCAAATACTCCAAAGTTAAGAAATACGAAAAAAAGAGTGCTTGCACATCAATTTAACCCCTTTGTTGTTATACTTTATGTACAAATGGTACGTAATGAAGGCAAAAACACAGTCTAAGCCAATTTCTGTTTCGCTATATCAAATCAGAAAATAACAGCTGATCAATACAAATTATTTATATATTTTAGATGGCAGACCACAAAGAAGTAATGAGGGGCATTGAGCGGCATCCGGGAGTCCAATATCCTGTTCTCACTCCTAATCTTCAAGGTTTTCATTCTGCTGTAAGTGCCTTCATAGAAGATGTCCACAATTATCTCTTTCATGTTTCGGACACTTTCAGTTCAGTACCATAAACCAGCTATTAAATGTTACATAACTTGTCTTGTTAGGACTAGGCTATAGGGTTTTTTAATTAAAATCTCTCAGTTTTTGTTTGTGAAAAATGGGCAAATTCACAGAGTGATATTAAGCTCTATATATTCATGTTTTAATGGAAGTATTGATCAAGCAGTCTTTACAAATTCCTATAAATTATGCTTGTGTATAAAGAGAAGGACAGTTCCTTCCCCTTCTTTGGCTTGTTGGCCCTAGAAAAGTTTTTGAAGAGTGTCTTTTTATTGGATAGTAGTGAAGAAGAATGAGGAAAGTGTCATATAAATGAAAGTACCTTATAGGAATGTGTAAAGTTTCTTAAATTCTGCATTTAATTCTGGTAGTGTTTGAAAGTTTATATTGGTTCAGTTCATACAGAATAAATATTCAAAATTATAGACTCAGAGTGTTTGGAATTGTGAAAATGGAGCAGTTAAATCTTCTTAAACTGATAGTTGAATCTTTACACTTTTTTGTTTTCTGAAGGTTTTTCGTGCTTCTATACTTTTGTCTTGATATAGGACAAGCTGTATTTGTAAAGCATACTGCTTGATGGACATTTGTGGTTTAATCTGTCAATCGGTTTCTATACTGCATATGAAATCTCTGTTAAAACAGATCCTGTACATAGGCAAGTTAACTATCAATAGTCAGATTTATAGTGCCACAACTTTGTCTGCAGGGGTAGCTGGTATGAGTTGAATTAAATCTGCTATATCTTTATATCAAGTTTAGTGATATAATGAAAGGAAAACAATACAAAAATCATTGTAGGTGATTGCTGAGTTCTTTCTTTCTGCTATGTTTTTTCTTCCCTCTATTTGAAAGGATATTTGTTCCCGTAGGTGTTGGTGAAGCTTAGACATTATCCTGCAGAAGCAGAGAGTAATGGGAAAAGCTCCATAGAACAAGAGCATTATTCTCACTGGAGAGTGAGAATTAATTAATTACCTGTTCTTCTAAGCTTAAATGTTTTCTTCTCCTAACATTTGGCTTTCAGCTTTCTAGTTTGCCTCCTGTTAGTTGATTTACTGAACAGTGAGGTATGGAGTACAAGCTCAGGCTAATTGCCCCTTTGGTGAAGTCACCACATTTACACATTTTCTAGACTGGTATTTGCTCTGAGACTTTTTCTCAGCAGACTCTCACATACACATTTTCCGTAATATCCACATCGACTATGACACCAAGACCAATGGAGCCCTTGATCCTAGAGATGACAAGTAAATCCCTGGTGGTTATTGTTGCTGCTCTAGGCACATGCAGGCAGAGAGCTTTAATAAGCATGAGAATGACTTCCTGGCACTCATGCAGAACAGGCTCTGTACAGGGGATGGATATTTCGGAGTTGTTATATGACCTTTTCCTTTTCTGAAAAATTAATATAAATATCAATCATTGTTTTTGTCATAGTTGGTTCATGTGATTTCCTACATCTTAATACCTTTATCTTTTGTCACTTTAGAAATACGTTTACCTAATTGCTAAGAAGAGGAAGAAAATATGCCATAGTGAATGAACTCAAAATTTGATTCAATCTGCTTGTATGCAATAGCTTTAAAAAATTTGAATGAAACTTATATTTTAGGTATGGATTATATACTTTGCCATTTAACATTTTATGGATAATGTACTTTAAAATATTCTAAAATGTTGTGCAGAATAAAATGCTTACTTTAATCTTTTGATATAGTGTTATGATTCTCTTTTATTGAAATGTATTTTTCAGATTGCAGCAGGGGCTACAGAAGTCTCAGTATTTGGTGCAGCATCTGAATCGTTTAGCAAAATGAATATTAATTGTTCAATTGAAGAAAGCATAGAAAAATTTGAAGAAGTTGCTAAATCTGCAAGGAATATGAATATTCCAGTGCGTGGGTAAATATAAAGATTCTTAAGTAATGCAGAGTTATTGGAGTTGCTGTTAACACGGGAGTTTTTTTGTACCAGTAGAAAAGTATACTACCAAATTTTTACATTTTAGATGAAATGAAATAATCACCTTTATTGTGATTTTTTTTTTTAAAGATTGAATATATTTTGCGACTTTACTCTTGTGTTTTGTAACTACTAATGGTGACTAGTTTTCTCTGGAAATGGAAAAAAATAAGGTGTGTGTATAAACATACCCATTTTGTTATACAAATTTATTTTTATCATCACAAAGAACAGAATAATTTATTTTGTGCTGCTGAGAACTCATTACATCGTTGCCAGCACCTCAAAAAGTGCCTTGAATACTTTTATTTTGTTATAGCATTGTTAATTTGTCACTTCATACACTGTCAAATCAAGGTATAAAAGTGATAGACCAAATTTACTCCTAAGAAAAAAAAAATTCTCAATATAAGTTATTCTGAAAACTCCAGGCATTGAAGTGTTTGGAGTGCCTAGTGCATGAGATTCTGGAACTGTCCAGTATTTACCTTTCTCTAGAGTGCCTTCTTTTAAACTTCACAGAATCACAGAATCACAG